ACATGACGCGCGCAGAGCTGCTGCAGCCAAGCCGATCCAGATGCAAGTGCTGCCGCTCGGGCTTGCTGGTCACGACGTACGCCATGGCGGACTCTCCACGTCGCGCCTCATGCATATCTGTAGGTCCTTCTGAGTGCACCCACAGGTACGGGCAAAACGGTCGCGTTTCTGCTGCCGCTGCTCGCCCGTGCAATGGCAGCCCGCTTCGAGATCAATGGGGTCCTCGGCCTCATCCTCGCACCTGTCCGCGAGCTCTGCATACAAATTGAAGCCCAGATCAAAGTCTTGATTGCACGGCGCCGATGACGCAGTGCTCATTGATGCGGCGTAGGACCTCGTGCAAGGCATTCCAAAGATGCGAACCGCGCTGCTCGTCGGGGGCATGCCCCTGCCCAACCAAGTAGGTTTGCTGTCCTGCTCGCGTGCTAAACAAGGGCAGTAGCTCCACCGACTCGCCCAAGGTCCGCAAGTGCTCATTGGTACCCCCGGACGTCTCTTGGCGATCCATACGGACCACGGCTTGATGCTGCAAGACGTCCGTACCTGCGTTCTCGACGAAGCCGATAGGCTCTGCGACGACGAGTTCCGAGACGCAACGACCACGCTTCTCTCGCTCCTGCCCGTACATCGCCAGCTCTTCTTTGCCAGCGCCACCATGACGCCCGCTGCGGAAGCCATCGCACGCACGCTGGCGCCAGACGTTCTTCGCGTGGCGCACACGTTCTCGTCCGGTCCGTCGGCCGACATCCCTCGTCACGTGACGCAGCACGTGCAGTATGTTGCCAACGCCCACAAGACGAAGCGTCTCTTCGAGCTGCTTCGGCGAAAACCTTCCGATGACCCGCTGCACGCGACCGTGCGTGAGGATACATGTCCATGGACGAGATACGGAGATCGTGTGTAGCTCGTGTTTGTTGCGTCCCAGGAAGGCGCCGACGTGCTCGTCAAGTCCATCTACAAGGCGTGCAACGTCCCGGCCCTCTCGATCCACGGCGGCAAGTCGCAGGTGCCACCGCGTTTGGACAATGTTCTACACTATGGACCGCGTAGGCCGCGCGGCTGCAAGCCATGGAGGCGTTTGTAGCAGGAACAGCGTCCATCTTGGTGGCCACGTACGTCTTGGGGCGCGGTATGGACCTCCTCAGCGTCGACGACGTGGTCATCTTTGACTTGCCGCCGACGGTCGACGGTACACAGATCATGGACGATATGGATGCTATGGATCGCGTGGATAGAGTACGTGCACCTTGTGGGCCGTGCCGGGCGAAGTGGCGATCCCGGACGCGCGACCGTGTTTGTCAACGAGGAAAACGCGCGGCTCTTCCCGGCGCTCACCAGCAGCGTCTGGGCGACGGTGCGGGACTTGCCGACTCAAGTGACCGACGCTATCGTTTCCGAGCGCAAGCGGAAGCGCGAGCCGATTGAAGCGCTGTGCCAACGCGCCCACGACGCTGCAGACCACTGGCGCGACTGGACGTCGACCAAGCGCAAGCGCGACGATGGCGACCTCGCCCTTGGGCAGCCCCGGCAGCGCATCAACGACTAAACGACTAAACGACTAAACGATGTTTTCCGAGTACCAAGTCACTCGACTCGCCATCGTTGCATGCGACCCTGTTTGCTTTCGACGATGACGAAACTGATTGCTCGGCAACGTCCGAGGCGTCATCCGTGGGTGGAGACCTACCCCTCATCTACAACGATGGCAACGCGAACATCGATGACGGCTGCGACCATGGCCCTCAGCATGCTTCTCCCCGCACACATTTCGTAGTTAAGTCCCTGATGCCCGAAGAGATTGTCTTGGATGTGTGTTTCTGAGCGATTTGATTGGACACTAAGAAACATCGGTGGCCGTGGAGAGTGCCACGTACCCACGAGTGGGGCGATGTGGTGGGCAGAGGTCTTATGACGACGTCTCTGTCTCTGGGCACCGTATCCACTGCCGTCGTTCTGTGCGCTTACTGTCCGCTCGGTTGATGTAGAAGCCACGCCAAGTCCCATGCCCCAATACAAGTTGTCGCTCCGACCTCGACCAATGTTGGACCTTGCACATGCGAGGCGCATGTTCAAGGTGTGGCTACTCGCATCATGCGAGTAGCCACATCGTACATTCTCGAAAGCGTGCTTTCGCGTGACCTATGGCGCAAGAGACGCCGCCAGCATTAGCTGCACGTACCTTCTTGAACCTGGCTGTTGCACCATGCTGGTGCACCGAGGGCTTGCTCGATTGTCTCCCTCCGAGGCGCCGTGAATGTCCATGCCAAGGCTCGATCCATACCGGCTACGGCTAGTGTGTCTGTGCAGACGTCGCCGGAAGCTTGCACCTGCACATACAGTCTGACATGCGCACATACTTTTTGCCTTGTCCACATGCGACGTGGACGCATCTTCTCTGTTCGCTGATGGCTCGTCGCTTCGCCGGGCAGCGCCGACCCTCGCTGGATACAGCCATCATGGGCTTCATGCCCATGCCGCTCGGCGCCTCCATAAGGCGATGGCCTCCGCGCACGTCGCGCCGACGCACCCGCCACGCTCCCGGCTGTCCTACGCGGCCTGATTCGGGCGGATTGCGTTATTTTTGCCAGTGCAAAAGATTTTCATGTATTTTAATGCGACATGCGATACAAAACCAAGGTAGATTGCGACGATATCTTTAAATTAATTGGATCCAGCGGTGCGAAGGCCGCGGATTTCCTCATTTCCAAAGTTGCTGCCATGTCGTATCTTGTACCCTCCGAGTACCTCCAGAAGTTCTCGCCCAAGGAGATCCAGGACCTCAAGCGGGCCTTCAAGCAGTTCGACACGGACAGCGATGGGTCCATCGACGCGTCCGAGCTCAGCAACGTGCTCCTCGCGGTCGGCGAGGTGCCATCCGACGCGTTCGTCGCCGACCTCATCGCGTCGGTCGACACGGACAAGAGCGGGACGATCGAGTTTCCCGAGTTCCTCACACTTCTCTACGAGCTGCGCCACCCGATGCCGGCGTCGGCGCCGAGCTACCCGACAGGTCCCAAGTTCAACAACGACGCGGCCGTCAACTCGTGGAACACGACCGCGTTCACCAAGCCGCCGTCGCCGATCGCGTCGCCGACCGAAGCCGCCGCGACGTTTGCGCCGCGCAACTCGGCCTTTGCCGCCGCCTCGGCGACCTTCAACAAGGGCAAGAGCACGCCTACCCCGTCCGCGGCGCCCGTCAAGAAGACGGTCGCACCGTCGTACGTGCCGCCGCCCCCGCCTGTCCCGGCGCCTGCTGTGACGCCCACAGGCGGTAACAAGTCGGCGTTTGCAGCCGCGGCCGCCAAGTTCAACACCAAGTCGCCGGTCTCGACGCCGCCCGTGACGCCGAGCCGCAAGACAAGCGGTTTCTCGGGCACGTCGTCGCCGGCGCAGGCCCATGCAGCTGCGAACGCGCCGCTCCAGCGCACGGCGAGCGCGCTCGCGAGCGTTGTGCAGAAGCACCTCAACATCCACGAGAGCCGCAGTGCGACTGGCGGCGTCCACTCGTACTCGGACGAAGAAAAGACGGCGTTTGCCGAGCACATTAACAACTGCCTGTCTGGTGATGCGCACCTGGCGTATCTGCCGATCGACCCGTCGGGCCACGATCTCTTTGCCTCGGTCATGGACGGCATCCTCCTCTGCAAGCTCATCAACCTCGTACGACCTCTCTTGCGGCCTTGCACTCGTCTCTCATGAGTCAAATATGCTGGGGTACTAGGCCGTGCCCGACACGATCGATCTGCGCGCCGTCAACATCAAGAACAAGCTCAACGTGTACGAGATGACGGAAAACCACAACTTGTGCATCAACGCAGCCAAGTCGATTGGCTGCTCGATCGTCAACATTGGCCCATCGGACCTCCTCGAGGGCAAGCCGATCCTCGTGCTGGGTCTTGTGTGGCAGATCATCCGCATCCAGCTCACGGCGACCATCAACCTGAAGAACCACCCGGAGCTCGTGCGCCTGCTTCTTGACGGCGAGTCGCTCGAGGACTTTATGAAGCTGCCGCCCGAGCAAATCCTCTTGCGCTGGGTCAACTACCATTTGGCGGCGGCCCACCACGACAAAAAGGTACATTTTCGATGCTGGTCGATAGTATCAATCTATCAATTAGATTCACAACTTTGGGCGGGACGTGGCGGATGCGACCGCGTACTCGGTCTTGCTCCACCAGATTGCGCCGAGCACGTGCGACGTGTGCAAGGAGCCGACGGCGCTGGAGCGTGCGACGCACGTCATTCGCAACGCGGAGAAGCTGCACGTCGACGCGTTCATCAAGCCCGGCGACATTACGAGCGGCAACACGAAGCTCAACCTGTCGTTTGTCGCGCAGCTCTTCAACACGTGCCCGGCGCTCGACGACGTCGACGTCACGGAGCTCACGGAGATTTTGGACGACGATGTGGGCGACACGCGCGAAGAGCGCTGCTTCCGCATGTGGATCAACTCGCTTGGGCTCTCGGAAACGTACGTGAACCATCTCTTTTCGGATTTGAAGGACGGCATGGTCATCCTCAAGACGCTCGACAAGATGGAGCCGGGCGTCGTGAGCTGGACCAAAGCCAACGTGGCGCCGGCCAACAAGTTTAAGAAGGTGGAAAACTGCAACTACTGCGTCGTCCTCGGGAAGCAGCTCAAGTTTTCGCTCGTCAACATTGGTGGCGTCGACATTGCCGAGGGCAACAAGAAGCTCGTCTTGTCGCTGATCTGGCAAATGATGCGCCACAACTCGCTCAAGCTCCTCTCGTCGCTCGGCAAAGACGTGAGTGACAAGGACATTATCGAGTGGGCCAACGCCAAAGCCGCCGCGCGCCACAACAAGCGCATGGTGACGTTTCGCGACGCGATGCTCGCCGACGCCGTGTTCCTCTTGGACCTCGTCGCGGCCGTCGAGCCCCGAGCGGTCAACTGGGACGCGGTCGTCGACCACGCGTCGACGGACGACGACAAGGCGGCGAACGCCAAGTATGCCATTTCGTGCGCCCGCAAGATTGGCGCGACGGTCTTTCTGACGTACGAAGACATTGTCGAGGTCAAGCCCAAGATGATCATGACCTTTGTCGCGTCGCTCATGGCGCTCGAGAAGCGTCACTAACACCGATAATACGACTCGTCTCTCTGCTGCTTAGTCGGCCACACGCCGTGCTCAGATCTTATCGCCGATCGTTGGTGGTGCACAGGAGCCAATGTAACGTATCGGCCATCGCTGTACGTCCAGCGCACGGTGGACGCGGCACGATGGCAGAGTTGAAGGTCACGTACCGCGACATTTGACACTATAACGGCGTCGTGGTTGGCTCGCACGCTAGGACCCCGTGCCATGCAGCGGGAACGGTGCACAGTGGATGCTGCTAGTAGTAGAAGATGCAGAGTCGGCGTAGTTAGTCGATCTCGTTGTTGCAATTAGTCGGTATCGTTGTCCACCGGTATGCACCTGATGGATGTCATCTTGTCGGTTTCACGCGCCAATCGCCACGAGCCAATCACTTGCAGCCAATGGATATCCTCCTGTGAGAATATATACTCTGAATGGATTCATTCCTAGAGGTTTTCGAGACCACCAATGATTATCGAGATTGCCATTTCCCAAACATCCATCGAGCGAGCATGAGTTCCGACGACGAGCAGAAGCTGCTGAAGAAGCTCAAGAAGGAGAAGAAGGAGAAGAAGGAAAAGAAGGAGAAGAAGGCCAAGAAGGAGAAGAAGCGGTCGCGCTCGGACGAGGAGACGACCGACGTCGCGGAAGACGAGGAAGCGCCGGCTGCATCGCCCGCCACGGACGACGATGAAGTCGCGTCGCCGGCCGCCAAGAAGGCCAAGAACGTCTCGACGATCGGCGAAGGCAACCCCAAGGTCTCGGACTTCCGCGTCGGCGACATCACGATTGCTGCGCTCGAGAAGCGCGGTATCTCGACGCTCTTCCCGATCCAGTCGATGACCTTTGACAAGATCTACGACGAGTTCGATCTCATCGGTCGCGCGCGCACGGGCATGGGCAAGACGCTCGCGTTCGTGCTGCCGGTCGTCGAGCGCCTCTTCAAGGAGGGCAAGCGCACCAACCGCGGCCGCGCGGCCAAGGTCATTTGCATGGCGCCGACGCGCGAACTCGCCAAGCAGGTCGCGACAGAGTTTGAGCAGACGGCGCCGAGCCTCAAGACGACGTGCATCTACGGTGGCGCGTCGTACCAGTCGCAGAACCAGGACTTCCGCGACGGCGTCGACATTGTCGTCGGTACCACGGGTCGTATCTGCGACCACCTCGAGCGTGGCACGCTTCGCCTGAACGAGTGCAAGTTTTTGATCCTCGACGAAGCCGACACCATGCTCGAGATGGGCTTCCGTGAGGACATCCAGAAGGTCTTCGAGGCCATGGAGGCGGCCAAGACCGCGCACCAGACGCTTCTCTTCTCGGCCACGATCCCGTCGTGGCTCGACCAGGTCGCCAAGAAGTACATGAAGCCCGACCGCGTTTACGTCAACATGGTCAACGACAACGAAGACCAGGCGTCCAAGGACGTCCAGCATATTGCGATCCCGTGCCACTGGCAGACGCGCGCGAGCCTTCTCGCCAACCTCCTCTCCATGTACGCGACCAAGACGTCGCGCACGATCATCTTCGCCGAGACGAAGAAGGACTGCAACGAGCTCGCGGTCAACCCCGACATCAAGCAGGACGCGCAGGTCCTCCACGGTGACATTGCGCAGAACCAGCGCGAGATCACGATGCAGGCGTTCCGTGACGGCAAGATCCGCCTCTTGATCGCGACGGACGTGGCGGCGCGCGGTCTCGACATGGACGTCGACCTCGTCATCAACTCGGAGCCGCCGCGCAAGCAGTCGGGCCGCGCCGATGTCGACACGTACGTGCATCGCTCGGGTCGTACCGGTCGTGCGGGGAAGAAGGGCGTGTGCATCACGCTCTTTACGCCGAAGCAGAAGGACAACCTGCTCCTGATTGAGCGATCGATCAAGAACAAGTTCATCATGAAGGCGGCGCCCAACGTCGACGACATGGTGACGGGCGCGGCCGCGACCGCCGCCTCTGAGATCGAGACCGTCGACCCCAACATGATTGAGCTCTTCCTCGACACGGCCAAGACGCTGATCGAATCGATGGGGCGGAGAAGAGTCTCGCGGCGGCCCTTGCGTGCATCACGGGCCACACCAAGCCGCCGGCCAAGGCGTCGCTCCTCTCGGGGTCGCCGGACCTCACGACGATTCTCTTCGAGTCGGCCAACGTCATCCGCGCCAAGGGCTACGTCTGGAACGCCGTGAACCGCGACATTCCCGAGGAGTTTGCCAAGGACATCAAGAGCATGCAGCTCACGGCCGACTCGATGGGCGCGTGCTTTGACCTCCCGAACGCCGGCCTCAAGGTCATTGAGGACCTCATCGCGGCCAAGGACTCGAGCTCGTACGGCTGCCCGTACTCGATCCCCAAGACGCTCCCCAAGATGCAGGAGCTGCCCCAGCGCACGGGCGGCAGCTTCGGCGGTGGCTACGGCGGTGGTCGTGGCGGTAGCTTTGGCGGTGGCCGTGGTGGCCGCGGTGGTCGCGGCGGTCCCCCCGGCGGTCGCGGCGGCCGTCGCTGGTAATTAAGATAGACTTTAGAAATTACAACTATACAACAACAACAACATGAACCCAATTACACATATCAACTTGATATTCATGCGCTGAAACTCGTCGGACGGTCGCTGCCTAGTTGCCGACGCGCGCCGCCGTCCACTGGGCGTGCTGCTTGTTGTAAAAGTGGGCTTCGTGCACAAAGCCTGCGTCCGGGAACGCGCCGTTGACGCAGTTGTTGCAACGGCTCAAGTAGTTGCCAGTGTCGTCCGCGAGGGCGATCTTGCCCTTGCCCGCGTCCATGCACGTCCACTGCGCCCACGG